CTCGTCAATAATGAAAAAAAGAAACTAATTAATAAGAACAATTTATATCTGTAAAACAAAAGTTTGCTATATTGTAGAAAAAAATTTCACCTAAATTTTAAAAATATAAAATAAATGGAATTTACTAACCGATATTTGATAAAATTAACTACAGATTGTGTCAAAAATCGCGTAATTCGCCTATCGATTGCTGTTTTAAAAAATGGTGATAAGAAAATATTTGCATTCATAAGATAAATCAAATCTACTCCATGCGTTGCTGCTAAAATTCGATTATATTGATTTAATTTTATTTGAAATAAAAATAAAAAAACTAAGGAGAAAATATAACTGCGATTAAAATCACAGTTTACTTTAAAAAAGTGTTGCATACATAAGACATATCGATAATCTAACTAATTACGGTAAACGGAAACCAGAAAATATATATATATAAAAAAGAAAATATAAAAATATTATCAACCCTTGTCTACATGAATGATATATTGGATTATCATTTGAAGAAATAATTTAGAATCGTTAAGGCGATTTTCCTATTATCGTAAATTTATTTACAATCATTATTTATCCACGAAATTTAAAAACCGGAACGAACTTTTGTATGGAAGATAAAAATTAAAGAAACCATAGCAGGCCGGATTACAGTGTTCTAACGAATACATATAAACGGTTTCACCTCGTTCAACCAATTTATCCGTGTATAATCGTGTCCCATAATTACTGGTTAAATCACCAAGCATCTGCAATTAATTCATTTCCAATTTAATTTCATATGAGAAATTCTGCTTAGGATGATGATAATGATTAAATTAAAAGATATTGCCTTTAAGATTACTCTTGCCATTCCCATTTTCAATATAATTATACCCAATGCAGTGAATATCGAAAAATTCCAATGATTTGAAGCGATCAATACTTTGTTAGTAAATGACAAAACAAGTAGATAAAATTAGAATTGAAATTAAAATTATGAAATTTACTACATGATTCAAGAGGATAAAAATAACCAAATGCTACAATTGAAATTTTAGGCTAAATTAATATTCATATTTCATAATTAATGATCAATTATGGATTCATATGATGAGTTAAAGGGCTGATCTCATTTATAAAATATTCATATTCCAGTGCCAGAAGGATTTACTTGAAATCTCAGATTGACATCCGGTTATTCTAACCTTTACATTATCAAATAATTTATTGAAAATTTCAGATTTGTTTTCTAGTTCTATCCCGTTTAAAGAATATCCGATTTCTTTATTATTTCTTGAACAATCTTTTTTATTTCTCTTTTATAGCCTCGATTATTTTATTCTTTAATCCCTTACTTACTTACTTATCCGATCAAACGTATATTGTGTAAGCAAATTATCACAAATATATCATTTGATGATTTAAAAATTAAACAGAAATAAAAAAGAATTTTTACGTTACGTCAATAAAGGCTCGTTGAATATTTTGTCGACCGTTAATATTGCTATCGCCACGATTTAAATAAATTTGACGGACTATTTCTGTGATATCAATTTCGCTCTTTTTACTACTGTTCGCCAATACTCGAATTCCCATTTCAATATCTTTCATATCGCATGATAATCGACCGATTGCTACTAAAAGTTTGCTTGTTGTAGATCTTTTTTTTTTTTTTTTTTGATTTAAAAATAACGGAAAAAATATGTGATACATGAAAAAAATATTTGTCAAATAATTTAACAATGAATATAATTTAATTTGCTGCATATTATTTTATTGTGAATAGATGAAAAGATAAAATGAAACCGTATAGCGGCTAATTAAATTATTCATTTCATTTAATATAAATTATCGAAAATCACACCAAAAAGTTGTCCTTCATCTTCGGTAAGACCAACAATCGAAGGTTTTGTGGGTGATTGTTTTCGAAGTTCCGAAATGGAACACGGTAACAGATCACCATCTATCACTGGTGTTAATGGTAAACGACCAGTGGTAAATAATTCTTTATTACCTATTAATCTACCAGCAAATTTTGATGCTGGTAGTTTACGGAGATATTTTATCATTTCTGCATTATCCGTACCTGAAATAATCATTATCAAAATGCGCATAGCAAGCAAAAATAAAAATGCAATTTTGTACTGTTAGAGAGTATTATAAAATAAAATTTAAAAATAAAAATTTTTACCTTTCCAACCTAATTTTTTAGCATGTTGATAACAATAATCGCTTACTACTTTAACATCTATTACCGCCCAAGGACATTCAGCATTACCGCCTAACAATATAATTTGATTGAAGAGATCTACAAAAATTTATTTAGATAAAAATTAAGTACAATCAAATGAAAATGAATAATTTTCTTTTTTCTATGAAACTTTTAAAATATCATTATGAAAGAATTACGAAAACTTTCATACCATATATTCATAAATAAATAAGAATTATTGATTGATTTCGAAGATTTTATCGATACATCCATCTATTACTACTGTATATAATACTCTCACTGTAATCTTATCAAAATTTTAATTTTTAAAATTGATTTAACAGTTGCCGAATAACAAAACAGTCAATTGTCTTCATTGCACAAACCTCGACTATAAGGTGATAAAGCTAGGAGATCAGCCGATGCAGCACCAGCACTTTGGCCAACAATAGTAATGCGATCGGGATCACCACCAAAATATATGATATTCTCTTTCACCCACTTTAAAGCCATAATCTGCATAAATTTTTTAAGTAACAAAATCTTAGACATATTTAATTTTCAGTTAAATTTGTCAAAAAAATCACGATCTTAACTTATATGAATAATATATGAAGAAAAAAAAACCTGATCCCAAATACCAAAATTCCCTGGGCAAATTTCATTACCGATGGTGAAAAAACCAAGAAAGCCAAGGCGATACTGAATTGTTACAACAGTCACATCCTTGCATACCAGAAGTCTAAAAGAGAGGATAAAAATTATAGAATATCTAAATCATTCAGTTTAATTCAATAATATAATTGGAAAGAATTTAATATCTAATTCATTAATGATTTGATTACTTTCAAGAGCTTTCGAGCAAATTTTATCACCTAGCAATTTTCGAGTAATGATATTTTACTGCCGAATCGATCATATAACCACCACCATGAATGTAAAACATTACCGGAAATCCATTCTTCTGAAATAATATTAATATCAAAAATTCTATCGGAAAAAAAAACAAAGTTGTTAAAAGTATTAAGTCAAAAATTGAGATCACTTGAAACTGAATGTATTCCACTTAAATTATTGATTGTGTGATAGTTAAACCTAAATTAACAAAATTTAAATCGTGCAAATATAGACGCTAAATTTTGCCGAGAAACATTAACTTATAACATTGAATTTAGTAAGCAATCAACAGATTATCACTTACAAATTCAGGTTGTGGTTTCCATTTCGGTGTGATAATATTCAAATAAAGACAATCTTCATTCTTCCCAACACCTAAATCTATTCGATCCCAAAAAAAATCTTTTTGAGGCGCTCGACTTTGATATCGTTTACATTTCATAATACCACTCCATGGACAAATCTTTTCAGGCTTCTAAAATTATCTTTAATAAATCTTTTCCTATTTCCATCTCATTCTCTAAAACATAAATTTTAAAAAATAAAAATTAGAAAGAGAAGGGAAGAATTGTTTAAAAATTTAACTATTAATCTAATTTAATTTTTCCTGCACAAAAATATTTGATCACTTTTGATTTCATCCTCTCAGTGATGAATGCGTAACATTGAGCAGAAATAATCATTCATTCTCATATATTTAAAAATTTCATTGAAAAATTACACACAAAAATGTTAACACAAAAAATATTTATTTGGTTTAACTTTCATTTTGTGATATTTCTCAATTTATGCTGTGCTGAAATAAAATTTTACGAACTAAAGATCATAATTTAAACTAACCTTAAATCGACGTTCTCCGATCGGTGGTTTTGCATATGGTATGCCAAGGAACACATCAATTGGACCTTTGCTGCAACGTAATTCCTTCCCTTCAACAATACCACTTTTAGTTTCGATCTGTCGTGATTTATATCGTTTGCGTTCCCCATTTAATTCCATCATCATTTGTGCTGAAAAAAAAAAGAAAAGTGATACGAAAAATGGAAAAAAAAAATGCAATGACATAAAAAAAGTGAGAATCCAAATTAATTCAAAAGTAATCTACAAATTTAAGACATTGAGAAAATTGCGAATTGGTAAATTGAAATGTTTGCTTTAAAAAAGAAAAGAGAAATGAAATGATCTGTCATAGAAATGAAGCAGTTGAAAAACGAAACATTTTGCGACACGATATGTCATGCATCAATCTTATAACAATAACGTTGATGTTTTTGACATTTTCCATTTTAATTTCTATCAAAATTACTTTTAAAAATAATAATTGGATAATCTGAAAGTCAGTCATTAAAGTATACAATAATATAATTGTTAAAATATTAAGAAAATATGTAAATTTCGTTAAAATAAAAAACTTCTTTAAGAAAATGTTTAATATGCATTTGTTGAACTTTTAATTTTGTTCAATTACCAGATAATGAATAACAAGCTTTTAAGCTTTTAAAAAATGCAAACAATATAAATATGATGAAATTAACAAAGAAATAGCAAAAATGCAGTATAAATGAAAAGAAAAAATATCGCGAATCAATGAAAAAATTATATTTTTGTTGCAATGGAAATTTAATTTCGAAGAGAGAAAAAAAAAACAAATATTTTTACCGTTCATTTTCATATATTTGTACCAATCAAATCATTAACACTAAAATGACA